TTTTAGACTACTTCATTACCCGTGGATAGTAGGGTTAAGTAAATTATTATCAGAAGGCATCCTGCAGTCTCGTGTAGCGTGGCACTGACACAATATTTTTATCTTTCTTTTAGTGTATTGTATATTATTATTATAGATAAATAGATACCTAATGTGTAATGACTAATAAACTAATAAGTAATAATAATATTTTTATATTGTGATAATACTGATAATGATATGATATACACGTCTTAATACTACTTATGTCTTATATTATTATGATACACCCATGGATATCTTAATCCGTAGATATACCTAAATTCTCTACTGTATTAACAAGTACATACCTACATTACATAAAAAATGTTTCTTACATGATAAAAATAATTTTTATATCCATACTAACTAAACTTATGTATTATGTTGAAAAAAGAAATTAAATATATTTATTTCACATGGTTTATCATGATTTATGTTATACAGATAAAATATAATTATACACAAGTGACAAAAAAATAAATTATTAATTTAAAAATAAAGTGAAGTTTCATCTCTCGTCGTATGGTGTGTTGAAGTAAACTGTAGGCAATCAATCAACAATAAATTTTCATTATTATTCTTATGCCCATATTAATTATTAAAATTTACAAATTTATTAAAAAAATATATAACCTTCAGAAATAATAAAACAGTAGAAAAAAAATGAATGAAGTAAAAAATATTGAGTAATCTTAATGTAAAATCACCCACAAAAATTATAGAAAATAAGTAATATTTTTAAGGATATGACATTAAACCGATTTGTTTAAATTCAAAACAATTTACGTAATACACTGCGCTGACATCTTCTTGTTTTTGTCTAAAAGTTTGTGATTTTTCGGTTTTCCAGTTAATTTTGTGGTTGCTTAATCTTACTATAACAAAATTTCGGATTAAATGATTTTTATATTCAATTTATAAGACAGTCAAATTTTTTTATAGCCTTGTATCCAATACTTTACTATCACCATCAGCCTAATTTTATTATATTTTATTTCATATAATCTCTCTTCACTTCTTTGGAATCCTTCAACTTTAATTTATGTTACCAAACCAGGTGAACTATTAGTAAATGCCTGTTTTTGAAACAAAGATATTTTTTATGGTTTATCATGATTACACGTGCATACATGGTACCTACAGCATTTTTTTTTTTTATGTCAATAAAAAGGACTTTTTATATTTTTTAATCATTACAACAGTCTATTAATAAAATAAAATTTTTAATTAATTTTATTAATATATGATTATAGTTTAAAAGTGCCTAAAATTCTTTAATTAAAATTAATTTTTTTAAATTAAATTTGAATTAAAAGTGTATATAAAAAAACTATTTTTATAGAATTAGATTTATTATACATTTTTAAAAGGATTAAAAAATTAACAACATTATACACGTACCTATTATCTGTACTTTTTACATTTTTGAAAATTAATTTTAAAATTACAATTTTAAATAATTCATTATTTTAATTTTTTACAATTCTATAAAATAACATAAATTAATAAAAAAAAATGTGACGTAGATACAAAAAAGATTTTATTCAAAATTTAAATCGATTTTTATAATTGATTTCGTTCTACGTAATGAACGTACTGGAGAAACTTTGCAGTTACAGGCCTATTAAACAAAAATTTAAAAATTGGTAGTGTTAATGTTTATTACTCCAATAAATATAGGCGTGTAACAATGTATCAATAAAAAATTATTTATTTTATTCACGACAAAATATTTTTCTTCTCATTTTTATTGTTCAAATTTATAAACAAAGTTTTAAAATTTTTAATTTTTGTATTTAAAATAAAATTTAATGGAAAGATAAAGCTATTAAGAGTATTAATTATTAAGATTTCGAATCAACTTCATAACGAATTCAAGCATGTTTTTAGACTTCTTTTTGCATTATTGAGATACCTACTAACTACTTTATAGTTTTATAAATAAATATAGATTTAAAAACTACGATAAATAAAATATAGGTAGACCTAAGAAATGTGTATGGTTCTTTAGTACTTATCAAATCTAGATTGAAATTACTCGTTTATTAGTAAAATAGATTTATTAAAAAGAGAAACCATCACTCTTAATTTAATATATTAGAATTAATTTGTATCTGGAGATGCAACAATTATTTGTGTTAATTCATCTGACATTATCATCTGATCAGATAATAAATTTTGGTGTTGACGGTGTAGTGTTCATATTTCGTATTTCATAATATATTAGTATACTACATTATACATAATACATATATTGTTTTAGCTATAACAAATAATATGAGTGAAGATTATAATTTATTATAATATATTATTGTTATTGCACAATTTTAGAATTATAATATGATATAAAATAATTTTAAAATTGTTCTACATTACATTTTTAATTATTTAAGTACTACGTTATTCCACTGGATGTCACTGTACGAACTGATTAAATTTTTTTTTCCATAACTTTATTGAAATCAACTTACCTTCTTTTTCATGATTTTCTAATTTTTACCTTCGAAAATTAAGTCATAATTTTTTTTAATTACTATAGCTTATATTTTTTAAATAATAATTATATAACAAAAACCATTTAAGAATAAAAATCATAACCAATAGTCATAATCCAATCATCGCTTCCTCACACATCTAACTATCTAAGGGCATCTCTCCTTCCTTAAAAATGGTATAAAGAATGAGGAGTGAAAATAAATGAGTCTACATCTATAGACTCCACCTTCACTTCTAGAAACAGAAAATACCTACAAATTACCATAGACAAGCTCAAACCTGGCCAACTGCACAGAGCACTCGCTATCTATAGGCATTGATTGACCAGCATCTTACCTGGTTTTTTCGTATTTGCAACAAACTACTATTCTTAAACGATCGATTTCATCTTCTTCACTATCTTCTAACCTCCAGCCATATAAATTTACCAAACAAACTAATATAAGCTACTAATATATAAGTTCTATCTTAAATCAATGTGGACATAAGGAATCCAATTATAGGGCTCTGCAAAAATTTCTAACATTAAACGTTTTCAGCGCTTCCAATCCAAAACCCTCCGAGCTATAACTAAAGCACCTTTTTACGTTTCCAACCAGTCCTTACAAAATTATCTTGCCATCTTACCCGTCCACGTTGTAGCCAGAACTTTTTACAGACGATTCAACTTAAATGTTCAAAATCACATAAATCCTTTAATCAAAGGGCTAGCATCAGCTAATATACCCAGTAATACCAGAATAAGACTAAAAAAGCCGCGATATCGGAACCTATTAACTTAACTAATGCCCGCATTGTATTATAATACTATTTTAAACATATTGTAAACGTATACAAGTGTATATAAAAAACTGACTAAGTGCCCTCATTGGAATTTCCATTATAGAAGGCTTATTAAATCTGTTTTTTTACTTATTGTCCCATATCGTAATAGATTGTAAATTGTATTACGAAAAAAAAAGAAAAAATCATTATCATATGTTTAAAAATATCGTCAACATTTGAAATTTGATCGCTAAAAAATAAAATAATATGGCTTTAAATTATACTCGACTTATATTCAAATTTATTTGTAATTATTAATTACCTATTTCAATAAATTATTATATTAAATAATGAATATTATGGAATGTAGAAAATTATACATGTGTGGTATGGAACTCTGAAGAATGCATGATTTCTTGTCTGAAATCTGGATCTATGATCCATCCCTGCATATATATTATCATATACGTACAAGTGTCAAGTGTGTAATAACTATATATTAAACAAATAAACAAGTAGGTATAGTATATCTACCATTAATAAAAATTATAAAAATGCAATCTATCTACCTATGTATAATATAGGTAGATACATATATAAAAGTCATAAATACATAATTTATTATACGAGTACAATAAATATTTGCATTAAGTAATAATAATGATAATAGTAGGTACATAGCATTAATTTTAATTAAATATTCGTATTCTTTTTATTTATTTTTTTTTTAATGAGATATATTTTACTACCAGCTATATGTATTTATTAATTATTAACCTAGTATTTACTTGAAATTTTTAATTCTAAAAATTTAGATACAATTGTAAAAGTTAGTCATAACTTTTTAATTATAAACCATAATTGGTGTTGTAACTAAATTTTGGCTACATCGCTGATTGTATAGTAATTAGTAAGTACCTACCTATAAATGGACGTAAGTACCTAGGTACTAAAATATTTTTACAATTTAGAAGGTACGTCTTATTTATCTAGGTACATGAAATTAAAATACTTAAAATATATGTATAACATAAAACATTAAAGTAATTATATAAACAAAAATTAAAAAATATTAAAAAAAATTTTAAAAATAAAAAGTTTTCTATGTCAATCGTATAAAAAAATAAAAATAAAAATTGTATTCAAAGTTAGACCCCTTCCAAAGCAAATGTGAAACACAATAAATTATTGTATTAATATTAAATTATAAATGCTACCTCTCAATTAAGCCTATATTTATAAAGCCTTCAACGTGCCGAAATAGCTCAGTTGGGAGAGCGTTAGACTGAAGATCTAAAGGTCCCTGGTTCGATCCCTGGTTTCGGCAATAATTTTTTCACATCCTCAAACGTGCGTATATTTCTCTAATTTTTATTTTAATTAAATTGGTTAGATTATTTTATACTGCATTTCAACATTAACTATGATATTATTAAAAAAATAATTAAATGCCATCTAACTAATAGCAATAATTTATATTATTATATTTAAACGTATTTTATACTCTGGTACAAAACGTCAATCGATAAACATACGATATGAAACATATTTGGCAACAATGTAAAATTATTATCACATATTATTTTGTATTTTACTATTTTATACTATTGAACAGTACGGTACTACGGTAGTGTTCAGTACCACGGTTTAAATACCGCATTTATACATTATGTAATCATTTATGTATCTAGAAAATTACTATCAGTTAAACATTTTTACTTAATATTTATCGTAATAATTATTAGTTATTAGTTATTACATCGACGTTTATCTGAAAACCACCCAATCATTATTCATTACCATCACAATATATTCTATTGTTGCCACCAACTTCTATTTAGACTATTTAATCATTAGTATTGTAGTTTTTGATATCAACACGTCATATTAATATGTCATACAGATACAGTTAACCTCTATTTCTTTTTAATTTTTACAGCAGTAGGTACACGCAAGTTTAAAGTTTCGGTTTATTATGTTTATACGTCTTGAAGTAAGTCAATCACATTAATATCATAAAAAAAATATATCACCAGCGTTCTATAATCTGAAAATGTTTACGATTTAATTCCACGAGCTTTTGTTTTGAAATATACCTTCTTCAATAAAGCTCCCTGTTCGTGGATCTCCTTTTATACATATTACATGTTGTAATTAGTGAATACGATCACATGATTTATTTTCATTCTTAATAATGTTTTTTTTTTATCAACACAGACTAATTTAATTTCGATTATTATTTACATTTTATACCTAATGCATCTTATTTTTAATATCCCACATTCTTATAATTGTTTGATTCTACCATTTAAATACTAGACCGTTTTAAACTATTTTTTTTTTTCCCCATAAAAATTATTATTTTATTAAAACCAAAATAAATATTTAAATTTAATGTATTAATGTGTACACTGTATCATAATCCAACTACATTTTTTTTTTACCGTTTCTTTTTAAGATCATTTCAGATAAAACCAAAGGTGAATCTAATCTTGAAGCAAGATTATGAACAATATTCAAGAACTATTATGGACACACAATAACGTACGGCTTCAAATTTTGATATTTTATGAACTTATACCACGACTAGATCAATGCTTCTCTTCCGGTGTTGGGGAAACTTATCTTTCTAAGCTATAAAATGAAAATAAGTTAAATATTAATTAGTTTTATTATTATAAACTTTACTTTACATATATTAGTGATAAATGAGCATGAATAACACTTTTAACAGCTAAACACAGCATCAACGCAATATTAATTATGGGGGTTGTTAAGAAAAATAAAACTGTTGTTAGAAAAAGCCCTAGACAGCATCAATGCAAGTATTGTTATAAGATCTTCCCATTCCCCAACGTATTGAAAAAGCATTACAGGGTCCATACTGGTGAACGACCGTATGAATGTGATTTATGTGGAAATAGATTTACACACCAGAATACTCTAAAAAACCATAAGATGTGTATTCATAATTGTGGTCGGGAAGAAGATTTTACTTGTGGTCATTGTGATAAAAAGTTTCCAATCAAGGAACGACTTATTGAACATGTACGCATTCATACTGGATATTATCCTCACAGGTATTTTTCTTTTTATTACCATTTAATTTGTGTGTATTTTAGTTTTAAATACATTGTTTTTATTTTTCAACTGTTAATTATAGATTATATTATTTCATTTAAAATATATTTCTCAATTTTAAAATAACAAAACAACAACCAAATCAATTAATTTAATTTTTAAATAATAATTTATAAAATAAATAATAAAAATAATAATTAATACATATAATTATTTGTAAAATAGCCTTAGTTTTTAAGAAAATAATGGTGGTGGATTTACAATATGATGTTAATTGACCAAATGTATATAATTTTTTTCTTTTAGCCTTTATAGAATTATTTAAAAACTAATATCTATTATGATATTTCAAACTAATTATTATTAAAATTGTGTATAAGTACTGTATAATTGTAGTTCTACCTTATATGTATAATATACCTTTTTGGTATCATATTTTACTTTTACTATCATTAGCTATATGCTTTAATATATTTTTTTCAATGAACTATAAAATATTTCTTATTTTACTAAACATTTTAGTTTATTATAATGTATTTTTTATATTCATTACAAAAGAATTTGAACTAGTTTAGTTATCTAAAATATTCATTATACAGAACTATACTTATAGTGTCTAAACCCTAAAATTATAGTTTAAAAAAAAAAAACAATGATACTACAAATTAAAATATTAAGACAGATAAAATTATGTTATAAGATTTTTTTAATCTAGCATTGATAAAAATTATACATGATATCAAGTATAAAAATATACTAATTTATTACTCATTTAGATTTTAATGCTACTAAAAATTATTAACACTGACTTAATAATATAAAATAAAAAAATTAATATATATATATATTTAATACCAATTTATCATACCTATTTTTTGCATTAAATTAGTACATTATACATAATATACATTGATATTTTTTTTAATATTTTGTTATTATAATTATTATAAGGAACAAAAATATTTGTGTTTACTTATTAATTCAGTTTGAGTTAAATGGTAGTTATTTATTCTACTTAGCAAATCTGTATTATTATAATAATTTCAATTAGCATTTCTTGAGCAATTTCTGTACATTTTCTAGATGCGACAAATGTTTAAAATCCTTCACAAGAGCCAGTCAACTATGGCAACATGCGCGTTCTCATAACAAACAATATACACTAGAATGTGCTATATGTCATCAATTATTTGCTTGTCGCTCAGTTCTTCGTGGCCATATGAAACGGCATATGGGACAAAATGATTATGTATGTGAAGTGTGTGGAAAAGCATTTTTACGTAGGGATGGTCTAACTAAACATCTGTCTAGCTATCATAATAATATCAGAGCATTCACCTGTAAAATATGCCATAAACAGTTTAAAGGACATATGATACAACATTTGAGGACACATCGTCATGAAAAACCTTATGAATGTAAAAGTTGTGATGCTCGTTTTGTACAGCGTTCTCAACTGACAGTGCATGAGAGACGACATAGTGGAGAAAAACCTTATCCATGCCCAGTTTGTAAAGTATCTTTTGCTCATTCAACAGCTATGAAAATGCATGTAAGACGTCATACTGGAGAAAAACCATTTAAATGTCTTGTATGTACCAATACGGCTTTTACACAATTGCCACATTTAAAAAAACATATGTTAACCATACACAAAACAGACAAACCATACTTGTGTGTTAAATGTAATTCATATTTCAAAACAAAAACTCAAATAATAACTCATGAAGAAACATGTTCCCCAAAACAAGAAATTAAAGAATTTATTCCTCCAGGTATGGCTTTGGACCGAATGCGAATGTTATTGGCAGTTTTACTAATACGCATATCAACCACTGAACGTTTAAATGCATTAGGTTTTGGAAAAAGACTTATTGATTTAGTATTATGTGATTCTATTGAAAATTCTGGCCGTAGTCCTTACCGCGGTAATGGTCAAAGTGAAAATGATTTGTTAAAAAAGAATATTGAAATATTATTAGACTGGACTGTCCCAAAAATTTATATGGACCGGTTTAAAAGTGAACGACGTACAACTGAAGAAATTTTAGAAGAACTAACATCATGACTTTAATTTATAAATAACATGACAATTACTTGTTAGCTTTTTTATACATTAAGAACAATTTGATCCATTATCTGGTTTTATTAGAAAATTACATAACAAACCTTAAAATGGCACAAATTTACCTGATCAATGAATCAGATCGCATAGTATAGTTTATAAGCTACTTGTTCTTCCACAACTATCTTGCAACGCTGTATTTATAACTCAAAATTGGTGGCGGTAAATTTGAGTACGAAATGTTAAATTATTCTGAATATTTATTGTAATATATGTTCAAATTGGGGATATTACTTATGTATTATAAAGCAATTTATAAAAGTAGTCTGTAGAACTTATGACATATTAAGCTTTTATAATAGGTAATGGAAATATTAACTTATTAATATAATATCGGTGTTGGTTTTCACAGATGATAATACTTTAATAATGTACACTTCCCCCTTGCTTTTCGCTGTAACTAATTTATTGTCATATGAATTTGATTTCAGACATCTAGTTAAATTTATTATTTATTCAAACCAAAATGAATTGTTTTTAGGTGTTTGTTAACAACTTGGATGCCAAAGTTTAGAAGTTAGTTCATTTTTAATTTTTATTTAATTTTTTTGAAAACCAAAGACTTAAGCGGATTACCAAAGAATATTATTCTAGTCACACCAGAAGAATGGTGAGAACCGCTACTTTATCATAAAAATCTATTCATACATTTTACATTAATTTAAATTTTGTTGATATTTCAAATTATTATTTTTATTTAATTCCCAATAAAGTTTCAAGGATTTAAAATAATTTTTTCACAATTCCTTAGCATCATAAACAGTTATTTTTGATAGGTATACGATGTATAAATTAATGAAAGCATACAATTTTCTTGATTTAATAGACTTAACTGTATGAATGAAATATTTAATATATGTATGTGTATTATATCTGTTATTTTTAGTTAAAAACTAATTTTTGTTGTGTTCATTTTTTTTTTTTATGGATTATATTTAATTGTTTTATTTAAAATATATTGTATTTAAAATTAGTTTATAAATTATAACTATATCAATTTAATGGTATATTTAGAGTGTGAAAACTAGTGAATTAATTATTAATAACCTGGTTTATTGTTAACTGTAATTTATTCTTTAGGTTACCAAAAGTGTGCAAACTATGCTATATATCATATATATGTATACTACATATATTAGTTTTTTGGGAAATGTTGTTTGAATATCTTATTTTTGTTTTGATTTTAAAAAAAAAGAATATCTTTTAAAAAACAATTTTGGTGTATATTATTTTATCATTGACCTTACTTAATTTTTATAAAAATGTCAATCAATACAAATAAATTGAATACCAAAAAAAATTAATGATAACTTTACAACAAAGTGTACTTTGTAAACTAATATTAATACAATTGTTAAATAGGTTGGCAATTTTTTATTGTTTTTACTAGGTACAAGTGTATGGTGGAAAGGAGCGTCTATTAGTATTACTTCTAATTATGAACTCACTCGTTTAAATTGTTATTTTAGATATTTTTAATAAGATTGTATAACTATTTTTATTTAAGGCAGTGGGGAAGGTTAAAAGGTAGTATGAACTGACTTGGTGATGAGAAGGCTTGAGTGATTTATGAAGATTTTATAGAATCAAGCATAAATAATAGAAGATTTATTGTAGGTAATGTTGGAATGTTCAGGTCATATAGTAAGGTTCCTATTGCTAACATTTCAAATACAATTGATATATTTTTTGTGATTTCTCAAAGTTGAATCTCATAGGATGTATAATTTATATACAAGTACAATGCATTTTAAGGTTGTTTTAGATCTGAGAAGTTATCTTAATTTTTTAAGTCTGAGGTTTGCAGATTTTCTCTTTGTTTTTATATGGATTCAACAATTTAAAAAATTCTATGTGAGATTATGACGTATACAATGTGTAATGATTGTGACATTTATAACTGTCAATATTTTTGAGTAATACTCATGTACATTTATACAAATGAGGAGGTCAAAATTTAAAAAAAATACAAAATAATATTTTCACAATATTGTCTAAGCATTGTTTCCAATAAACAAAAATGTATTATGAGAAAAGCTTTAGTATTCAGTTAATCTAAAAAAAACAAATAATAGTAAATCATTTTTAAGTTCTTTCTAACTCTACAGTCTGCTACACTATTTATCCTATAAAAACATACTCACTTAAAATAAATTTATTAAATAATATGGTTGATATACTGTAAACAAACTATAAAGTATAAATTATATCGTTTTTGAAGTGACCCAGATATTTTTAAATATAGGTATAATTAAATTAAATTTATATGAATAGCTGGAAGATACCTAGTCCCTCTAATTTAAGATTTAGCAAGTAATAATAACTAATAAACATACCGTTTTAAAAAATATAAGAACTAAAAAATTGTTGACTGTAGCTAAGCATCTTATTTAGGGTCACCAAAGGAAAAAAAAATTTACCATTACCTAATGAATTTATTAAGAGAATTCATGTTGGAAAAATAACTACAAACTATAAAATGTCATTAAATTATAAAATAGGATAAAGCAGTCCAATCAAACATTTTTAGTACCTGTTAGCTTTGATAATATTGTAGGAATTTCCAATTGTAATAAAATTAATGAACCTATTTAAATTTCTAACTGTTTTAATAAACCATCATTACTATGAATTTTGTGTCAGATATTTGAGATATGAATAATAAAGATGACTGATTATATTGATTTACACACATAAAATATTTAAAGACATTTTTTATTACAATTATTTTTTAATACATTATACATTGTCACTAACTTCCCAATTGTTTGATAAACTTTTTTTCTTCTTAATAATAGGTTTTAATTTATTTTTTTTGACACCATTAATTGGTAATTTTCTTTTATTGTTTTGAACTTCATTAGTTGGTAATTTTCTTTTATTGTTTTGAACTTCATTAATTGGTAATTTGTTTTTAATATTTTGTGTCTTATTAGGAATACTTATACCAATAATAGTATCATCCTTAACTTCGACTTCTTCATCAGATTCGTCTTTTACCATCTTTGATTTTCTGTAAAAATAAAAATTGAATTAAAATATTTCTATTTAGAAATTCAGAAATTAATTAAGACTAATACTAGCAATATACATATTTGTCAGTCTTTCTCGGCAATATTTTTATTTTAAACAAAATTATAATACACAAACAATATGGTACACATTCAATTGTATAATTTTACAAGTCATTATTCAGAATTAATTTAATGAAGTATAGATAATAAAAAAACATATTACTCGACAAATGAAAAAATTGAAGTCTAATGATATTATGATCACTGGAACCAATTCCCACACTGCTGAACAGTCAAAGCATCAGTGATTTCTTGGAAATGAGTATTTAAGTGAACCATGTAGGTAGTATAAAGATAACTGATATTGGTGGAAATTGCGTTTTATATCAACTAGTTGTATTAAACCATTAGGTTTTATTTAACATTAAATAGTAGACATTTATTTTTATTTTTTAAACTACCAAGATCGATTTAAAGTAAAATGCTTATTATTTCAGAAACTATGACATATGTGATTAAAAATATTTATTTTTTAATTTTAAATCTGAATATATATTATTTATTATACATATCAAATCTGAACTGCAAGTGTTTAATAAAAAAAATAAAGAATAAGTCTTGTAGAATCTAACCCTTTTGTCAACACAATAACATCTAATATGGTTAGTACTTTATTGTATTATTTACCTTAAGGAATTGTTACAAATACAAGTAATTCTGCAGTCTAAAAACAATGAACAACTTTCAGTAGGTTTTTTACTACCATCGAGTTCCCATACAGAAATGTGGCCATCACTCAATGCTGATACAAGTCTATTATCAACTTTGATCAAACATTTTACTCTAGTATCTCCAATTTTTACTTCCCATACACTTTTTTTATTAATAATATCATAACAATGCAGTGAACCATTTTCTGAGCCATAGCATACCAAATTTTCCTACAACAAATAATTAATTAGGATTACTTCTATAATCTAATACATTAAACAAATTAACTAAATATGATTTTTATTTACCGTTATAAATGTAATACCATGTATTTTATGATTGTCTTCGATTGTACAAGCAATACCTGCAGTTTCCACATTAAAAATCATTAACTTGGTATTTAAAGGTAGACCATAATACTGTCCAGCTGGAGACCAAATGATATTATCAAAAAAGTAATAAGCACTCATACTAATAAACAAAAGTAAATAAGTCAGTTGTCAAAAAAATAATCTGTGATGTGTACACTTACCTAGACTGATTTGTAGTGTATGCAGGTCTACCTTTCACTAAATTCCACGTTCTTAGAGTTTTATCTTTTCCAACAGATAATGCTAGTTTACCACTAGGATGAACTGCTAAGAAAGAAACGGCTGTAAAAATTAACAAAAACATATTAATATAGTTGGGGAACAAATCTGTTTAATGCAATAATGCCTATTAAAATTAAATTTTTTTTTTTGAAATCTATATACTTAAATATTTCACAAATTATGATCCCAAACGTTTTTTTTTTTGAAAATCATTAGTTTTTGAGTTATGTAAAAGGACAGAGGATATTTGGTAGAGTTGAAAAAAATAAAAAAAAGTTTTTTTTGATTTCAGTAGATAAAATCAACAAATAAACATTTCTTAAATCAACTAAAAATTGGATTATAGTGGATACTATCATAATTAGTAACTATTGGAAATTAATTATAAAAATATTAATATACAAATACTATAACTTTACAAAACTAACTCAGATAGGTCATAGGGTATAAACCAATTGTACTTTAAGCTATTATTTGTAAAACATTAAAATACATGCATTTTAGAAAAAAAAACCAATGATTTAATTTTGGAAAAACTTTAATAGTAACATACTTCTTTCTACATAGCTCAAAAACATATTTTTACAAAAAAAAAAACATTTAACATCATAATTTTTAAACTGTTGAAATGTCTAGATTTCTATAATAAAATCCAAAAATTCGAGAAGATACTCAATTAGATTTAAACTAGTTAAGTTGTAAGTTTAAAAACAAATAATCATTCCTAAATTTATATATGTTTTTTTTATAGAATTTAATCACCAGCCTACCTGATCCTTTATGAGCTTTATCCCAAAGCTTTTTAAGTTTCCATGTGCCCGTCTCAAACATTGCTATTGAACCATCTTCACTAGTGCTGATTAAATGTGAATCGTCTGGTGTGAACGTTAAAGATGTTACTGTGCCACTGTGCTGTAGTATTGTATGCACATGACATCGCCTGATCATATTATATATCTCTATAGTCTCATCTGTACTACTTGATGCCATATATTTGGACGAACACGACACTGAACGGATACTAGCTTGATGAACATGATCATTAAACGATTGCACCAGTTCTAGATCTTTAGATTGCTGTAATCAGACAAAAAAAAAATTTTATTCAAAATAATATTACATTTTCCATACAAGAATTATGTATAACTGCACTAAAAAGACTAAGGAAAATATTTACTTGGCTTTTGAAACGACATTTTACACCAATCACAAATGATTCGTAAGTTCCAAGAATGATTTCAAAAACATCCATAACCAAGTGAATATTAAAAAATTAAAAAATTAAAAAATATCTGTATAAAATTAAAAACCGACATAAATAAAACCACGTTTTAAAATGTAATGTGCGCACCGTGATATCAAGATTCGTGATAAAATCCATAATCCACAATATATATGTATATATTTACTGGCACAGCGTGGCCAAATAACAATAAGTTAGCATCGTGGTGTTTACAGTTTGCTATAATCACAGAATATACTCTATGAGGGGGGACTATAGTCATGTTATCAATACAGTTTGGCCGACATGAAGATTTCCTTATCAATAATTTGGAATTTTGACGCTTGTTCTGTTGCTAACTTCATCATGCTCATAAATAATGGTAGTCATTGAACATGCCTTGGGAAACCACAAAACACTAATATAAGTAAAACAACCGTCTGTACCCTGTAGGACGACAACAACATTTCTGAACGTTTTGTTTACTCGAACCCCGATCCTTTGAAGTTTAAAGTTAACGTTTTACGTTTCGCGATTTATTTACCCATTTAAAACGTTGTAATAGATTAGCGTCAAGTCGTCAATCGTTCGCAAACTGCATAAATTTCCAAGTTATAATGGCTGACGTTTTAGACTTGAACGCTGAAGATTTCGTGGAGGAAGATGATGGTAAAATAAATTTATTTATATATTGTTTATCCTTAGTAACTTTACAAAAACGCAAAGTAGATTTATGGATATCGTCGTATGCTTATATTCATTTACCCGATCATACGATTGATGTCAATACGAGTAAAAATTACACGATTAACTCTTACTGCATACAATGGCCGATTTATTACATTAACTTTTTATTAATTAAATGAACAATGTTTTTAATAACAAAAAAAAATCCGGTTTTAAGTTTGTTCACTAGAATAACGTATACCCTACCATTAGAATCTTGAAATGCTTAATTATTCTCCTATTGTGAGCTGATTAAAATAACTAAATTATCACACTATTGTTAACACCAATTTTTCTCTAAATACCCTGAAAAGTTCATCAAAAGAGCACATTTTTGGGGAGGCTAAAGCCTTCATATTTTCTCCTTGACGATCTGTAAATGTCACCTACACTCTTCTATCAAGTTTGTACATTTTCAAATGGCTTTTAATAAATATAAATTCGCGAATACATATAAGTATATAATTTATTAAGCATGCACTTCCATTTTTACCTTTAATGTTGTATTTATTCAAATTTTGATTTTTGGAATTTTTAAATATACTTGAAGACTATATTTTTAATTATTTAGATTTATAAGTACAAAAGAGTTAGTTCTCATTTGAAGAAAAAAAAATGATTTGACAAATCTAAGCATTTCCCAAAATTAAGAAACAGTATTGCAATGTATTTATTCTTAGCCTATTTGATACCTCTTATTAAAAAAAACTTTATTGTGATTAATTATTTGATATATATTTATTGAAACTTGGCCTCTTCTCCTTAAGTCCTAATAGTGTTTATACTGAACACTAATACTGTATAAAATAACAATGTATGAATGTTATATGATTATAATATCTGTTTAATTCAATTGTTGTTATCCTTTAGATAAGCATGTTTATTAAAACATGTCGTTTTCAATTATAAAATATCAATATTTTTTTAATAGAATAAAATGTTTTATTGCATTTTTAACATTGTCTTATTAAAGTCAACTAATTTTAAATAATATAAATATTTTATAACTTCAAGTTAATAAACATTTAAAATATATACTATATTATATAATATTTGAATTTAATATTATATATATTATATATAAATTATTAAGTAGTTAATAATTAAAAAAAAAAAATATTTAATTAAAATCATATATTTTAGAAGGAGTCTCAAAACTTAAAGATAAAGCCAGAAGAAGGAAAGGACGTGGATTTGATGACAGATCTAAAAGAGATGATATAAAAGATGAAGACATGGAATTTGATTCTGTTGATCAAAATGATGATGATGGCCCTGGACCTCAAAGATGTAATTTTACAATTTTCATTATTCTTTTTATTATTATTCATATTATTTAAATTTTACAGCGGTTGAAGGTTGGATTTTGTTCATTTCTTCTTTGCATGAAGAAGCTCAAGAAGATGATTTACATGATAAATTTGCTGAATTCGGAAAAATTAAAAATCTTCATTTAAACTTGGACCGTAGAACTGGATTTTTAAAAGTAATTATTATTATTTACTTCATTATTGTATTATTAATGTCATATATTTTTTTAAGGGTTATGCATTGGTTGAATATGAGTCATATAAGGAAGCATCTAGAGCACGTGAAGGACTTAATAATACGGATATTTTAGGACAACAAATAAGTGTAGATTGGTGTTTTGTAAAAGGACCAAAAAGGTATTGTTTAATAATAATAACTATCATTCTATTATTTATTTTATTTTATTAATATATTATTATTTTTAGGATTAAAAAATCAAGACGTCGTATGGCTAATTATTAGTCAAGTAATTGAAAATCAAGACATGTAAAAATACTTTCAAATTATTTAGTTTTTTTTTTTTTGTAATACATTTAATAATGCTAAAAACAATTTTTTCATGACTAAAAAAATATATGTGTTTAAATTTATTTGTTGAATTAATATTTTATAAAGCAAATTAAAAAAAATGTATACATTTTAAAAAATTAATTCAAATTTGATTCAATCATTAAATAATAAAACAACTTTAAAAGTTTTATTTTTTATTCTAAAAGCAGAAATGAAATTATTTTAGCTTATATTTAGATTTGAAATTTAACTTAATTTTTTTTTTTTTTTTAAATCTTTATCTATATTTTAAATACATCGTTTAATCTATCTCTGTTGCTACAATAAATAAAATTGAATAAAATAGTACATTGACATTTTTAACTATATAACTTTATACGTGTCATGGGCATTTAGTCATCACCTAATAAATTAATTTATAGTGGGAGTATATTAAGAGTATAATATCTTAAATATTTTTCATTCAAAAACTATTCATTGTAAATTATAATAAAACTAAATTATCTACTTACTTATTTTAACATTAACTTAATCCTTTAAAATATATCCTATAATATTTATAATATATATTCTTATTTAATCATTATTAGTTACACTAATTAACATAGGCATAACTATGAGTCAAACTAATTAGACCATAATCTGTTCTAATTCTGATAGGTTATCGTACTTAAAAATGATAGAGGTGAGAAGTACATAATAACACATATAATAAATAAAAATTATTTAAAAAAAAATCTAAAATATCATTTTTGTGGTTAATTTTCTAAAATGTAGTAATATAAATGATAAATATATATTTTTATCACTGTTTACAATAATAATACTTAATATAGGATGCAAAGAAATATTTTTTTAAATTGCCAAATGAAAATTATTGGGTATATTTATTTCAATTTAATATTATGTATTTGATTGTGGAGATATTTGTGTAATATGTTCTCTTTAAATATACACATATTTATTGAAATATCTGAAAAGTATAAAAACTTGATAGTCAATATCTACAGACCGTATTTTTGTTATAATAGCACGGTCTCCACACCGGTAATAGACTGGTATTTAATAATTATCAGCTAATTCTTTCAAAAAATAGAGTACATTAAGTAATAATACAAAAAACAAAGCCAGAGTATTGATTTTATAAATATTGGTTATTATTTATATATTATTTTATATGAATGTTTATAGACAATAAATATGTCTTAATGTATTTAAATTAAATATATAACGGGTTTGCGCTATATATCTTGCATGCTCACATATAGGGAAACCATTGAATTTAATTGTGTTAGTAAAAGATAGGTCAACCAAAAATACTGTACATCAATTCAATTAACACTTGCTTAAATTAAAATAATAAATTTTTATAATTTAAAATGTAATTTTCAAATTATCAACTAAGAAATTTGTAAATAGTTTAGTTTATCATTAATGCAACGGATTATGAGGGCCACAGCAACATGTGGCCAGTGAATCAGCTAGTCATCATAAAAACCTGTACAATATCCAATATCCACGGTGATCAAAATTATGTATTGCACAAGACTAGTTATGTCAACTAAATAACTCGGATTACTAGTTACTTTATTAATTATTTTAAAACGATTTATGCAATTCCAATTCTAATACAGACATAAAAGCGCATTCCTAGGAAATAAGAAGGAACACTTGTCCTTTACCCTTCCCAAAAAAATAATTATTTGGTGGTATGGTGAGTGTATGGATATTGGATGATAGATTCTTGTAACCAGTGGAGATTATAATATATTTATATTGTATATTATAAGTAGTTTTTATGTATGTACATAAGAGTCATAATGTTCAATTTTAGTGAGTGAGTGCCGACTGGAAAATGTCTAGGTTTGCATTCGTAAATATGATAATTTATCCCACTAGTGGCTGGTTTTATTTTAATAGAGCTAGAGATCCTAACAAAGTATTATCTAGTTATAGGTCAATTGCCACCCATTGGTGTTTAAGATAATTAACAATTTGCCACCTGTTGACGAATAATAATTCCCACACATGCTGTTATGACGGTTAAATTGTTTTCTCTATTTCAGCTGGAGCTGCAGTAACTTCAATGCTTGGAATCTTGTATTTATACTTTTAAGCCGTTAACCCATGGGCGTAGCTAGGATTTCAATCAGAGGGTACCTAGTTAATAACATTTTTTTTTTTTTGCTTTTTCGATTTTATAGTAAAACTTGAACGTTTAGTAAGAAATAGAATTTAGTTTGAAGCACAAGGGGAGGCTATCTAACCTAACAGGGAAGAACCCCTGTCCCACCCTCGCTACGCCCTTGTAGATACCTGTTAAAATTAAACATTTTATCAAATTGAAATTTGAACATCTTATGACTTATTGTATAATAATTGATTTAGACGTTTTTCTTATTATTTTTCTGAAATAGCGTAGGTAGGTAAGTACCTAATTAGTTTATGAATATACAAAAATATATACCACATTTTCGCATTTAAAAAGAAAAGTTTTTATAAATAAGTAAATTTGTTTAAAACTAATAGGTATCTAAATAAGAGATGAAGACTCGACGAGGAGCCTAGACTTGTTTTTTTAAATTCATGTTGCGTAATCTAGCGTTTTGGAATAAAAATTAGGTCTTTTAGCATAAAAAACATTTTGTTTCAAATCCCTTCAAGTGATAAAATTGTAATACAATTTTCTGACACTATAGGCTGTAGCAAATGTCAGTTTGAGTGGCAATTGTCCGAATACCCTCGGCCCTCGCTATTTCAGCTTAAAATACAGGACTCGCAGTCATTATTTAGACGTCTCAGACCTTACGTGTGGTTGTTATAACGGGAAAAAGGTTCTTTTGGTTGTATCCCACCATTCGTAGTGTGGATATATATAAATATAACATTTTTTATTTCATTTCTGCTGATAAACAGTAGTATTTTGATTTTAGATTACTTGTGAATCAATATTCATTTTTTTTTTTTTCTGGTAAATAGTTGGCACATATAATGTGCCATGTGAACAAATTAAAATACAATTAGTCAATTGGGTTTAAATCACGTAATATTATAAGTATGCATTTTATTGCATAAAAAGCTAACCCTCTGGCCCCTGTACATTATGTTGATAATAGTTAAAAAATAAAATTGTTTTATGTTCCCTAATATTTTTCCAATTTTAATGATCACTGACTACGATTTAAGAATTTATGAATGGTATTGGTCATTCGGCTATTTATTATTGTTAATATTGGTCTATAATAAAAAGTAACTAATTATGATTTAAATCGTAGCATCTACCCATAGGGAAATATTATTCTAGCATATACCTGTTAATAAAACGATTGGATATTTAAAACTAAAAAGATAATTAACCTGTTATCAAATGCATTATCACATTGATAGAATTCAAATTGTTTAAGTTCTATTATCAAAATTAAAAGTTAAGAAATATTATGAATATTTAGTTTTTATTAGTATTATTAATATGGTATCTTTAACTTTTGCTTAGAATATATTTAAATTACATTCATAATGACTTGAATTGAACATTTCAATACTGCTGAAGAAAATTAAATTTGTCTAAAATATGACTAACCTTCATACGACCACAGCATTGACGGAGTTCACTCCATTAAGTCCTGAACAAGAACAATCATCCGTTGGTTCATTCTTTTCTAAAGTATTCAGCTTTAAAACAAGTCCAACAGATGCCAATGCCAATGATAAAAATGCTGAAGTGGTTGTTAATAATGTAAGTATAATTGTGAAATCAAAAAAATTAATGAAGTAGATTCTTACCAATGTTTATTTAATTTTAATATTAATTATGTACCTGCACCAAATATTTAATTTGAAAAAAAAATATTTTTAAATAATTAAGTTTATTACATGTAAAGTATTACCTATAGTGATGTAATAACAAATTTTAAATTAAAAATATATTTTACTTAAAACATCTTTATTGATAAAATATATTATGTTAATCAATTGTAACTTATTTTTTTTTTTTTTATAAAGTACAATTGTGTACATTTTCTTATTATCTATAGGGTATAACATAATATTATTATCAGGACTATGAATTTTTGACATTAGAAAACCTTAAAAATATATTATAAATCCCTAAAAATGCATTGAAATCTCAAGAGAATAAAATATTTAAATTAAAGATATTAGTTAAATATTCAGTGTGTGTAAAAAACATAAAATATTTATAAGAAAAAAATTGATTAATAATTTATATAATAAAAGTATTATTTTAAAAATTAAAATCATTAAAGATTTTGAAAAAATTAAAAATGTTAATACTAAGAGTTAAATAGCTTAAATATTTAATTCATTAATAGAGTCATACTCAAGTTTGGTAGCACCCTACAACTCCACATTTTTTGGAAAATCACTATATTTGTGTCATTCTAAAAAAACACAAAATAAAAAAATGAGAAATTTATATCAGTTATAAAAAACTGTCAACAAAAAAAATTTTAAATACCTATATACATAGTAATATAAAAAGAATAAACACCAAAAAAAAAATTTGTACGATATACTTGAATTTAAAACTTAAAGAAAATAAGTAGATAACTATATTTATTTAACAATATGTATATAGTTTTGAAATTTGTGTCTCTGACTCATGCCCTGCCCAACGTGCCCCGAATATGGCCCCTACCTAATAAACAACTAATTCAAACATTTTTTTAAGATAGTTATATTCTTTAATGAGCAAAAATTAATATATTTTTCTAAAAATTATCATTTATAATTATTATACTTGATTTTTATTATTAGAATCAAACAGAAAAGGACACTTCACAAGCTCTTATGACCATAGATGCAAGAAATTTACCAAATATTCTTAAAAGAGTTGGAAATTTATTACCTGTTCGATCAGGAGTAAGTTAATTTTATTTAAGCAAATGTATCTTAAATCATTCATATTATTATTATTTTAGGATTATCCATCATATGGAAATACTGATTTAAAACAGTATTGGATGCCTGATTCTGTAAGTAAAGAATGTTATGATTGTTGTGAGAAATTTACAACTTTTCGTCGGCGTCACCAT